TGCGTCGAGGAGAATTGCGCAACTACATTTGTCCCCAGGAAGTGCATAGAAGATTATTGTCTTTAGTAAAAACAGATTGGTGGTAGTCAAAAAGATATTTCAGGAATTATTGACCTAATTAAACTTGACTACAAGCTAAACTTAACGTTTATGGAAACAACAGAAAAAGAATGTACTTTTTGTTTAGGCATGAAATCCTGTTTGACGTTCTGTTGTAATCCTATTTGTGTTGAGTGCTTTTCTAGACATTTTGAAAGATGTTTAGAACAAGTTCGATCGCTCGAAATGACAAAATTAATTATACCTTGTCTTAATTGTAAAAAGATCATATTACCAGAAAAGTTTTTTCCTTCCAGTGAATTTATACTATCTGCTATCTAAAACGAAGCCTACTGTCTCCAACGAAGACCTACCGTGCTTATTCTTTCTCGAACAAAACGTATATGACTCGGTTAGGCTATATAGATCCCACGAATTGTTGATTTTTGTTGTCATTATTAGAGCTGTTTCAATACTTTTTCGACAGAAGCACAGTCACCTTTCAAATAAACCATATACATCAAGCTCGAGGCTAGATTTCAATGTCAGCCTCTTATCAGTTATATAATGAGGCCATATAATTCTATTTTTTCTCTTTCTATGGTGAGACTTGAAGTCTTTATCGGATTACCTTACGTGCCTTCATTTTTCTTCGTCGATCAAAAGAAAGTGTTGTTGTCGAGATAACGAAAACTTTCTACTGCGAAGGACAAAGACGAAACAGTAATAAAAAATATGCATATCTCGTTTCTATGGTGTGTGTTTGTATTGATACACAAGAAGAACGAAAAACAGCAATTACGTATGAAATAAAAATTTCATGGACTCTTTTTTATTTCGTTGTGACGAACAGATGCCGCCAGACCTCTAAAGCAGAAATGAAAGATACTATTACAGCATGTATAATACAAGATCATGGTTTTTTATATTATCCAGTCAGACGAACACATTTTAAAGAAAGCTCTATTGTGAGCATTAGTGTTGAGTTTTACCCATCAAACTTTTCTCTTAAGTATATAAAACATTCATGTTGTAGATCTCACATGTCGTTTACTAGTAAGAACAAGAGTACTGTAGCAGTGTTAGAAATGATGATCTGCGGCTTTTATTCTAAAAAGTTTGTAGTTCTCGTACTCTTTTTTCTTATACGAGTTTGATATTTGTGCGTTCATATTTGAAAAGATTTTTGGGAGCAGTACTTACAAACCGATGGCTATTCCTTTTTCCCCGCTTGAATTTAAGCTAAATAAATGAAACTTGAAACTTGAACTTGATATACAATTCAAGCAGCTTCCAGTAACGTTACTTAGAAGTGTATTATAGAGCGAACTGATTTGAGTATCTGTTATGTTTCCAGTGCGCTCTAAAATTTCAATACTTTTATGTCAACAGCACGACCGTATGTAACCGTTCTTCTTTTTTCTTGTTTTGTCACTATTTTTTGTAAAATGTGCACCACGTGATCTGGCGAACTACGCTATGTAGAAAACGTCTGAAAACGGGAGCGTAGTTCCTGGATACTGCAGATTGATAAGTACACGTTCTTTTTTCAAACACAAGTCCAGATTTGGCGCCATAACACAAGTAGACTAAAATGGTTTTTGGACTTAAAAGTCTTTTAAAGTTCATTAGCGTCAGTTGTCCGGCGCCAATTATTCTTGAGAATAAAAATAATTCTCTCTCATTTGTCTTTCGCTGTTCTTCATATTTCATTCTCTGTTTTATTATTGTCTAATCATGTTTTGTAAAGTACCTGAAACAGACAATCCCAGTAAAAGTGGTGCAGAGGAAATCTACTGACCGAATTGATAACTTTTGGCAGCTGTCAACAGGGACAGAGTCTGTCGACACCGCAACTTGTACGCAGCATAAGTGCTCGCTAGCTCAATCTGTTATCGATGTCGCATTCTACTGTTAACCTCTTGAATACCTCCGTAAGGTATCTATAGATGACATGAAGGAAATTTCATATGTTGCATATGCTTTTTCGTTCTATCGTTTTAACGAAAAAAAAGTGTCAGAGGAACACATGTAACGAAAACCACGAAGAGGAAAAATGACGGCATCCAAGAGGTTAAAACTTTATGTGTTCAAGTTAAAACAAGAAAGATCGCAAGGAATAATTGAGAAGTAAGACAGCGATATTGAAGCGAAGTGAGTTACTGAGACTCATTTTCCTCCTACACTGTAAAAAATAAAAATAAAAATACTGAATGTACACATCACATTGGACTGTTTTTGCACGCTGAAAACGGCTTGTTCAGTGTGCCTGTAACACACTGGAATTGCACATATAGCTTCCACAGACAGAACGAGAAAGAAGACCGAAGAGAAGAATAATTCTTCCGTTTTTCTTTCCGTAGAGAAACGCAAGATAAAAATTCAGATTACACCGTGACAATTTGCACATCATTTTGGACTCGAAATGCACACTTGGGGGAACGCACACTAGCGGGCACACTTTAGTTTTTACAGAGTACCATCGAAAAGATTCAAAGAAATGCCTTATTTTCGTAATCACGCCCTTTTCTAACAACATATAATAATGTGCACTTTAATCCGTTTGATGTTGCTCCATTCTTCCAGAACTATGTTTTTTCATAGAGTTCAAATTCGTGTTTAAATCTGAAATCAGTCATTTGTAATGTTTCACGTCATTTATCTTCACCACTCATCAAAATGAAAAGAACGCCATACGTCGAAGAGAATTGTGCAACTACATTTGTCCCTAGGAAGTGCATAGAAGATTATTGTCTTTAGTAAAAACAGAATGCAAAAAGGAAGATAGAATGAGAGAAAGCTTTTAAACCGTCCCACTGCCCATCGTTCTTGTTTCACACTACGGATATGTAACACATGCCGTATGCAGCACTCTATTCTTTCAATCTTGTCCTAGACTTTGAACAGAAAAACAGATGGCTAAGATGCACGGAAAGCAGAGTTCGAACGGATTTTATTTTTGTCCTTTTTATCCTGCATTCGATAGAGAATTGAACGGCGATCACGGCTATATGTTTCCCACCTTGCAAAATCTTTTCAACGTTAAGATATCCTCAAAATACTGGTACCATGTCAAAAACCACAAAAAAGCATGTTTTCAAAAAAGTGACCCTATTTTTTCAGTATTTTGATTCCGAAACTTGAGAGTAAGTTTTTCGAATTTGGAATTGCAAATTGAATGTAGAAAACTAACTCTCAAAACCGCACGACGAAAAATGAATTTTTGCCAAGGCCCGAGATCGACAGACCTTAAAGTCGACACCCTCGTCTTCCAAAGTTTTCACAGGTTTTTTAAGAGATGAGGTTCGCGATATTTACACATGGTTAGATGCGCCTTTCAACAAGGATCAAAGTTACACGTTTAGTTTTTTAAAATTCCTTTTTCTCGCTAAGAAAGTGGACTTTACTAGGGAATATCGAAATTCTGACCCTAATTCGCACTTTCCTCCATCAAAACTCAACTTTCACGTAAGGAAAACATCATATTCGGAATCAGCGTCGATAGTTGAGTCGAACGATGTACTTTTGTTATCCTATTCGATCACTTTAAAAAATTTTTTTAAATTTTTGCGTCGAAGAGTTACTGAGATTTTTATCAAAAAATGAAAATCGACGAAAAATTTTGAAATATCTATCATTCGACTCGACTTTCGATGCTGATTCCGAATATGATGTTTAAAAAAACTATGATTTAAAAGCTTTGGAAGACGAGGGTGTCGACTTTAAGGTCTGTCGATCTCGGGCCTTGGCAAAAATTCATTTTTCATCGTGCGGTTTTGAGAGTTAGTTTTTCTACATTCAGTTCGCAATTCCAAATTCGAAAAACTTACTCTCAAGTTTCGGAATCAAAACACTGAAAAAATAGGGTCACTTTTTTGAAAACATGCTTTTTTTGTGGTTTTTTGACATGGTACCAGTATTTTGAGGATATCTTAACGTTGAAAAGATTTTGCAAGGTGGGGAACATATAGCCGTGATCGCCGTTCAATTCTCTATCGAATGCAGGATAAAAAGGACAAAAATAAAATCCGTTCGAACTCTGCTTTCCCTGCATGAAGTGCATCTTATATTTAACATCACATTCAATGGTGTCGCTGGTAAAACTATTTCAGCTCAACTTTAACATGATTTTAAATTAGCTGATTTCATCGCTAAAGTAAAAGAACTAATAGGCGGCGATGCAGCTGATCATCGTTTCGTCGTTAGTGGTTAACAGTTGAGTCTTGAAGACAAAAGTATATTTAATGCATAAAAATCAATAATCTCAAATAATATAACTATCTACTATCTAAAGCGAACGATCGGTATTGCAACAGCTGAAATAAAATCATTAGTAACGCAAATTGAAAAGTCTTACCAAACGGAAATAGCTCTATTACATAAATTAGATATCTATATTGTTTTTAGTGAGTTTGTAATTCTCGGCTTTGTGATGTTTAAAGTCGGTCAGTGATTCGCTTATAAGATCAAGGCACAATCATCTCATTTTTTCGTGTATGTATAGATACCTAGTGCTGATGTCTGTAGCCGGGTTGAGAGTTTTATATTATTAATAAGATAAAGAATTTAGTTGATTGTGTCTACAAATAGTCGTCATGTTTATCAACGTTTTCTTTTCTTAACATCGATTATGGCATTAGAGTCTTAGGATCACTTTTTCTAAAAACCATATCTACCATGGCGAAGAGCATCATATAAACGCTTTTAAAATACTGTCCTATATCACTAATTTTATACAGATTTTCTAAACATTTGCTGAACGTTTGCACGGGGAAATGAAAAAAGTTCCTTCGTTTGAGCTGTATCTAAAAATGTTATTCTAATACATAATATCAGTTATCACACAATCGACGATAATTGGTAGAACTTTACGAGAAGGACGAACTCAATGATTCTGACCACGGAGCAGAAGACCGCTTTATTCGCCAACAGATGAGCTCCAGAAACTTTTTTGATTCCTGTTACTTTTTCTGAGCGTAAACGAGAATATATGCCTCGTCAGTAATAATATCTTCTTCTAAATTAATTTCATTAACGTGTCTATCATCAAATTGATACCATTTTCCATTATTAAAGTTCTTTGCATTCGTCACATAATGTCCATACTCCAGTGAACCTTTGTGATTTGCGACTGCAACAAGATTATAGTTGGCGTTACTGTCAGTTGAGAGAGCGCTTAAATCTAAATTTGTTAATGGACACGATACAAACTTATTGATCTTGTTGTCAGAATCGTCGTAGACAAATCGTTTTAGTTGAATAATAAGTACTTCTGGAAACGAAAGAATATCTAGCTTCTTTGTGGCAACTCTCAGTTTATTGCATATTGGACAATGCCATTTTCCGTTTTCACCTAAAGTTTCTTGAGTTGTAAACTCTTCAAGACATTCGGTCAACGTCATTGTATCCGAATCGTTAGAAGACATTGCTTTTTCTGTTTTGTAAGTGGGTACCTTGTAGCATGTTTGCTCGAAAATTATATGCTCCTCAGGAACATGTACCAGTGGAACATTATGTTCGTATCTTGTAGTTCCACTATGAACTACTTCTATATGCGATTCGATTGGCGTATGGGTACAAAACTTTTCTGTTCGTGGAGATCGCTTATAAGTTGAGAGAAAATCGTTAATTAAGCTAGAAATGTTTCCGTTGCGTGCCGTTTCGACCCAATAGATTCGGGATTTCTCCTGACGGGGGCAATATGTGACTGCAAACAATCGTCCTTTCTTCTGTAATGGAAGTGGAAGAAATGTAAATAAATTCTTTGTAATCTCAATTTCGTCACATCGTGAACATTGCACAATCGTTTGTGTTTCGCCGTGGAACAAGTCAGCAATAATGGAGTGTCGACCATCACCGAATCGTTTCAGGTCTTCGTGAAGAGCATCCAGAAGAAAATTCATAAATTCTTGAGCATCATGTTGAGCGTATCCGATAAATTGAGGTGCAAACTGACTGACACAATGTTTCAACAGACTCGGTTCAAAATAATCACCTTTAGGATGAAGCCATACTTTTGAGATAAAATCAGCATAGGCACTTATCGTTTCGCCACAATTCAAGTTCAAGTCTCCGTGGTTGAGAAAGTATAGAGTTAAAGGTGGAACATTTCTCAAACATTGAAGAGCACTGTTCATGAAACAAGTATTGCCCTGGTTGATTAAACCACATACACCGGCTCGTTTATTGAGTTGTGTCATGGTCTTAGACGATGGTGCAGCTAAGCTATTTCGAGGAGATAACGGATGTGGCTGATTGCTAGTAGTAGACGGCTCATCTATTGCCAGGATACGTATTTCTGTTTGATCTGCAATGTCCAGTTGTTTGAGTGTCATTTTATACATAGATTCAGTTATTTTTTTATTTATCCTATGAATACACAGTTGTATTCTGTCCACTGGTAATCGTAAGACAGTATCATGTGCACGAAGGTCAGCTAATAGTTCTTCGGCTGTTGTTGTCTCGGGGTTTTTATGTAAGTGCATCAGGAAATTGTCTTTGAAATATATCGCTAATTTAATATCGGATCGAAACGATTTTGAAGTATCTGGTTTCCGATCCTCATGCGGCTTACTATGAGTGGTTGAACGTGGTTTAAACGTATCTTTTTCGGATGTTTTAATTGTTTGGATATTTTTATGTGTAATGGTAATTTTGGAATTATCGTTTATACCCAGCTCTTTGAGGGTACATTGAAGTCGCTCTTGCGACAAGGGTTCGTCGTCGAATTTTGGTTTATGTATTATTAAACGTGTTGTTTTTGCTTCTTTTATTGGTCTTTTTAGTTTTGTAAGTATGTTATTGAGTAGTTGTGAACCAGTAACATTCGAATCGGTGGTTATTTGAACTATAGTCGCGTCTTCTGAATACACGATTAAACGCAGTTCCTCCTTCACAGTTTTCTCGGGCTGCTGGTAGTTAGATTTTTCGCGATTTGTGTTTCCACTTTTGTGAATATTCACCGTGGTAGGTGACATAAATCCTAATTGTTTCAGGGTTTCATCCATATTTTTGTGCAGAATCACCACATTGCTAGTTGGTGTGGATACAGTCAAACTATAGTATTCGGGCGATGATGGTAACCTGCATATGTCTTTACATAAATGTTCTTTTAGACTGTTAGCAGTCATATCAGGATCAACAGGCAAATTATGTTCTTCAGTATTATCTACACACACTCTTAGTTGAATCTGATTTTCATTCGTTATTTTCACATGTGTGTTTTGCTGTTGAGTTTGAAGTTTATCGGTTCTATCATAATATTCTTTTAAACTCTCCTTATTATTATTTTTGATCACTTGTATATCCCAGTGTTTGCTATCATCAATAATTTTCACATTTTTTGCTTTTCGGGTCAAATTCTGAACGTTTGTTCGGCATACACCACAAATATTGCACGCTACAACAGATGATAAAAGCGTATTTAGTAAGTGCATTCTAAATCCCGAACATTTTCGGTTCCCTTTCATCAATATTATCAATAAGCTGCAATAGACATGGCATACTACTATTTGAGATACTTGGTTTACTTAAACAGTTGACAAAAGAAAACTTACATATAGGAATTCGTTTGGAAGTTAATTTTGACGCATGTTTTATTGCATTAATTCCAATTTGAAGCAGTGATTTGTTATCAGATTTTTCGCAGATAAAACAATAAGCAGGTGGTTCATATTGAGTGAAATATTTTTTGAAATGTTTATCACATAAAACTGTGATATCAGTAGCTTTGCGGATCAATTTATCATCAATTCGAGAAAAAATGAGCTCTTGTATACTAACGTTTGTTCCAAGCAGTTCATAAGAATTGTTCTGTGAAAACTGATTTACATAGTCTGCTGAACGCTCACAAGTGGACAAGCAACATCGTGAGAGTGAAACTGTTGACATAAATAACTTATATGACTTTTGAGTTTACGCCAGAAGTTATGGTTTTTTTCTTTAACAAGTAAACAGTCATTACAGAGGATTGTATGATATACTGTTTCAAAATTAAAATACTGTAATTAATTTGGAGTGTATTAATTCTGATGAAATAAGATTTCCATAATATCGAACAAATTGTAAACTGTTCACACGGTATTCTACTATTAAATTCTTCACTTCTTGATATATATTCTTCGTTACTTTCACCGTTAAATGTGTTACTTCGACGTCTTGCAGAAATATTTGAGTTTGAATTTAGAAGATGTGTTTTTGTCTAACAAGGCCACCATATACTTCCTTTCAGCTATAAACAGTTTAGTTTTATTTGTTCTGTACAACGTTTTATCACATATCCACAATTTCATGACATTGCAAAATTCTGAGGTGTGCTTGCTTAATATATTTTCATCAACCTATTGTAAAACAGTTTTTCTTAATAGAAGACCGAAAAGAAGGAGAATAGAAAAACAATTTCTTCATGTGAGTCAAACCTCATGTTATAGACTAATACAACACGAAAACAAATATAAAAAAGAAGAATGTGCAAATTTTTCCCTAAAGATTTAAATTTTCAGATTATCTCTACTCATAAGTCTTCTTGTTGACTGACTAAGCACGGTTTATTTACGTTCGAAGTACATTTGATTAAAGCGATACATTTCAATAATAAGCACTACTCACGAAAAATAAGCTTTAAGACTTCTCTGCGTTTGAACTAAAATAATAAAAAGTTTCAAGTTTGAAAACAAACTTTTATTTTATTAATCGAATTGGATTGTTGAAATAGATAATTGTGCCGCTTGTCGATACACACTTAGTAACTGACGACGACTTTTACTTAAGAAATATATTTAATGTTGCGCTATCATCTGCAGTTTTATAAATTTTTAATGTTTAATTCTTTCAGCTCAACTACAGCTTTCGAATCAAACAATTCACCATTTGAATTAAACTGTAGTGCTACACATAACGTATACAATATATCCCATGAGGTTTTTCTGTTTTTCAGCGTTAAAGTGCTACAATTTATCGATAAAAGTGCCATACATTGTGATAGAATCTGGTTACGCGTTACAACGATATAAACTTTGTGATCCGTTCCATTGTACGGCATTATGATTCAAACAGAATATCTTATTTCTTATGTTGTAGCACGTTAATTCTTCGTAAATAACGCGTTATCTAACGTACTTTAACGAGTGCACTCATTAGAAAATTTGGTGCTTACTCCGCGCTGAACCAAATTGGATAAAAATTGGGCGCCAAACGCAAAATTTGTTGGTGAATCCGACAGTGGGTTCCTTATAATTACATCTTCACTTCTTTTTTGGTGTCGACATAATCAACGTGGTTTTTGCCTAAATTTTATTTTTCTCGTTGGTTGAAAAAAAGGCGCCAATGAGAAAAATAAAATTTCGGCAAAAACCACGTTGGTTATGTCGACACCAAAAAAGAAGTGAAGATGTAATTATAAGGAACCCGCTGTGGGATTCACCGACAAATTTTGCATTTGGCGCCCAATTTTTATCCAGTTTGGTTCAGCGCGGAGCAAGCACCAAAATTTTCTAATGCTTACAGTTGAGAAGAGATCAAACTATCGAAAAAAGGCAGCGAAGGGCGTTGCAACAGAATATACTTTTAGTGCGTCGTAAGACATTCTGATCTTTATGTCACCATAAGACAACGTTTTTTCAAGACCATGACAACGCGATACATTATTTCTTAAATTTCTTGTAGCAAGAGAAGTATTCTGGTAACGTACTCTATCGTCCACTAAAAAAACGGACTTTAACGCATTATTAACGCAATAAAAAACATCATGGGATATGAACAGAAATCAAGGGGAAAAAAACAACATTTCACTACACTACACTTTTTCTACTACGATAGTGACGTCCTGGCTTCGTGCAAGGATTGATTTTGTGTTTTGGTAGTTTAAGTTTCAGAATGATATAATGGGAATTTATATTCTCGATTTCGTTCTGGTTCAAGATTACAGACTTAAACCAAACCAAATTGGTTTTGAAGTTTCTGTTACCTATTCAAGTTTACCGGAGCAAATTTAAGAATTACCAAAGTTTTCTTTTCTTGTAATATTTGTTTATTTTCCTTGTCTTAAAAAAACATATTGCAGATAGATGCACATGTTCAGAGAAAATTAACATGGCGACTTTTCTCCTTGTGCTCACACTAAAAATTGCCACACGTCTAATCAGACACGAAACGTTTTCTTACGATAAGGATTAAGAAAAGTGACCGATAAACGGAGTGGCCGATAAATAAAACGCTAGCGCACTGTTGATATGGTAGTTCTGCCTCGCACTGTTTTCAGTTGAATATCTTGAGTTTAGAGCAGTTAGACGGCAAAACACATTGTTTTTAACTTTAACAAGTATGAATAGACGAGTTACATGAAAAATATTTTTTTCATATCTCATCCCCAATAAAACATTTTTTAAAACTCTCTGGGGGGTTTGGGTTTTAGGCCATGCTGGTTCTAATGGCGTTCTCAGTCTTGTCACATTGCTTAGAAGACCCCATTTTCTCGAAAACCAGTTTTCAGAAACTCTGAAAAATAACCAAAGCTTTTCTTAATGAGTCATGCTTGTAGTCCGCACATTTCTGATTAAAATGAGACTTCTCCCAACTCTACATGACTTTTCTTTGCAAAGTTATAGATGTTACAAGAAAAGCCCTAAATATTTATTGTTAACTCAAAGCTACCCAGGTCGAACAATCGTACTAAGATCGTACACGATCGTGAAAGATCATACAAGAAGTACGAAGTGATATGATTCGTACTGTAGGATCGTATGATTTCTTAGAGTACGATTTTAGTACGTATCTGATTATATGATGGTCAGGTATTTCGTATGAAATCTTGCATTATGATTCGTACAAAATCGTTTGGTAAAAATCGTACGTGTTCATCTCGTACATATGATTGGAGTGGAAATCGTACTCTTGAGACTATTTTTCTGCTTTTGCCCAGATTCCTACTTGGAATCAGTGTTTCTAATATCAAAGCCCACTCACTGTATCAACGTTTAAATATGCTTTGAAATTGAAAGATACGCTCTGTTTTTAGCAGGGAAAACATGGAAATATGCTTTGCTTAAGATTGTCATTAGAAACACTGCTTGGAATGCTTGAAGAAGCTTATATTCTTGTTAATGTTTCCTGTGTCTAATATCAGACAATGCATTGAGCCTTAATAAACATCAGGTCGCTTTAAAGCGCCATGTATTATCTTCGCTTGTGATAGCCCGAATAATTCCCTAGTGAAGCTTTTTTTCTCAAGCACATGAGCAAGCACATACCTCAAGATTTGTCTCCCTGCACATGAATTTCTTACTCATGCAAAACGCTTGAGGTATGTGCTTGACTTTCTTGTCTCATGC